CTTTAACACAGCCAAAATATAGGTCATATATTACTTCCCATATGTCAGTGATACAAACTTAATCTCTATCTACAACCATTTAGCTTCCACACGCGATTTGGCCAATTCTCCATAAGACCCAATGTTAAAGTACAGCGCCCCCACTAAACCCACTTCCGTCGATTCAATCAAAATGGCACTCGCACTGTACATTGACGGTACCAAGGTAAGTTGATTGCCTGATTTAGAAAAAAATTATCGGACAGTTTTTGAGAAATAATTTTTTGAAATTTCAAGGCATATCTTTTAATATTGTTAATATATTCCCTGACCTCGAGTTTGACCTTTCAAAGTCATCTGTGGTCACATTTAATATTGCCAAAATATAGGTCATATATGACTTCCTATATGTCGATAATACAAACTTCATCTCTATCTGCAACCATTTGGCCTCCACGAGCCATCATGCATATTCAAAAAGTACAGCGCCCCCAATAGACCCACTTCCGTCGATTCAATCAAAATGGCACTCGCACTGTAGATTGACGGTACAAAGGTAAGTTGATTGCCTGATTTAGAAAAAAATTTGTCGTGCAGTTTTTGAGAAATAATTTTTTTAAAATTTCTCAGTCCTATCTTTAACATTGGAGCCAAAATTTCAAGGGCCCATAAAACAGACAAAAATGATTCAATCAAAAATCCGAGAAAAACGTCTGGAGACATGGTCTAGTAGTATGTTATTGCCAATTTACACGAAAATTCAACACGCCAAAAAAAAGATAAAAAATCTTCTGGACGACAGACGACGGACGCCACACCACGACAATAGCTTATCGGCCCATAGGGTCAGTAAGCTAAAAATGCCAGTCAGTACTGTTCAGTCCGTGATTAAGAGGTGGAAAATTAGGGGGTTTGTTGATACCAAGCCAAAGTCCGGTAGGCCAAGAAAGATTTCAGCCAAAATTTCCAGGAGAATTGTTCGGGAAACAAAGAAAAATACACAAGCTACCTCAAGAGCGACACAGGATGCTCTGGAAAAAGATGGTGTGGTCGTTTCAAGGAGCACAATGAGCCGCATGGTCGAGTTGCTAGAAGGAGGCCATCATTTGCCAATCCGACAAAAAAGCCTGCCTAAAATATGCCACATAATACCTTGACATGTCTCACAACTTGTGGAATACTGTCACTGAGTGACAAGACCAAAATAGAATAGGGGTGCTCTGATTTTCTGCTTTTTGGGGCCGATCACTGATTGCTGATCGCTGAAATCAGTTTCGCTGATACCAATCACACGGCATCTATTTGAAATTGACGCTTGCTTTTTATAGTGTCACATTAATTATTCATTTATTTGTTTAAGTTCTTCTTAACTCTGTATATTCTGCATTATTAAATGGAGAGATAGAGAATATCATGAATTGACAACTCTTATTTGCAAGAATATGCAACAGACAACTGACCAAATAAAGTGCAGGGCAAGAAACAAAAAACTATAACCAATAACTATAACATCTTGTAGTATCTCTTAATCTGTAGGCCATCTACATCCATCTATCTGTAACAGCTGAGGTAGTTTTTATGGCCTTTTACAGGGGAGAAAGAAAGTTTGTTTGAGTGTGTGTGTGTGTATGTATGTGTGTGTGTGGGGGGGGGGGGTTTGTACAGAGTTCAGACTTCAATTTTCTGTCCAATCCTTCTCAAGCAGCAACACTGGCAGATTTACCTTCAGAAAGATGAGCATCTCTGCATTTTAGCTGTTAGCTTGTTCCTTGTCATCTACAGTATCTCCTGCTGCACTAAAAAGTCACTAACTGTCTATGCTTGCACACGGTGCAGAGAGAGGCAGGCTCCTTCTGCTTGTGTGAGAGATGGAAAGCGACTTTTATTGTCCCTCCAAAAAGGATGTTCCCAAGCCTCATTCCGTTTGAGAGCCAGTTTTTATAAGAGTCAGGCAGATTTCTATTCATGACCCCTTCGGGTTTGTCCGAAATATTTTTTATTAATAGATATATGTTAGAAACGAACAAAAATCACATTTTCTATCCTTAATAGGGTCTTTTTTTTTTTTTTTTAGGGGGTCCTGAAATACTGGGGTCAAAATCAGCCAAAATGGCAAAATGGCAAAAATTAGGTATTTGAATGCTTGTATTTCTGTGCGCCCTAAGTGAGCCAAATTGATTTCCATTTGTGCAAGTCTATCGGGTATGGACTCTCCAAAAATGTGAAAATCTTGGCGGCTGACTCAGGGCGCAGCCCATAGGTGGCGCTGCAAATCAGTACCTTTTGTAATTATGCACACTTTCCTAGGGGTTGTGTGGCTTGCGTCCTAAGTCAGCCAAGGTATTTTATGCATGTCATGATAAATCAGCACCTCTTATCTGGATTTGGATGAAAATTACAGCGGCTGACTTAGGACGCACAAGTATAGGGGGCACTTTTTGCCGCCGAAAGGTGAAATCAACGATTTTCGCACAGCGATATCTCCATGCGCCCTAAGTCAAAATTAATGAAATATGGCTCACGTTGTCCTCAGCATCTCTAATGTCAGTGGTAAATCCAGTTCCGTGGCTGGTTTCGGTATTAACCCTTTTGCACCATTTTTGTTAGGCCACTTCACGAAAAACCCCAAATATGGTAAACTGGGAACTTTCTCCGATTGTCATGAAACTTGCAGCATTTGCTTCCTTCCTGCAATTTTCATGAAAATCGGAGAAAAGTTTTTCACATTTTGAAGGCCCATCAACCGTTGTAATTTTGCAAATCAAAATCAATTTGGTCAAACCTATAATGACATGCAGAAATAATTGGCGTTGTAATTTTCATCCTAAGAGGTCTAACCATAAAAAAAACCCAAGCCACACACCCCTTGAAAAGTGTGCACAATTACAAAAAGTAGTGATTTGTAGTGCCACATTTATGGGCTGCACCTAAAGCCAGCCACCAAAATTTTCACATTTTTGAAGCGTCCATACCTGATAGACTTGCAAAAATGAAAATCAATTTGGCTCACTCAGGGCACACAGAAATACAAGCATTCAAAAACCTAATTTTGATGATTTTGCCAGCTGATTTTGACCCTAAATAAGGACCCTCTTAAAAAAAAAAAAAAAAAGCGTCCCTATTAAGGATAGAAAGAGTGATTTTTGTTCGTTTCTAACATACATCTATCAAAAAAATTTCGGACAAATCCGAAGGGGTCATGAATCACCGCCTGCCTGACTCTTATAAAAACTGGCTCTTAAACCAGTTATTTTTTCCTGCACAATTCGTGACAAAGATTTAACTACATCGTCCTAATAATAGGCCAACCAGTCTAATTGCATTAGCCTATTATTAGTAGGCTATTATGATTTTAATCCAAACTTTTAATTTCCATTAACTCCAGATCATTATAAAATCCAACAGTCAAAATTTCAAAAAAAAAAAAAAAAAAGATGGATGTCATAACTTTGTGAATTCACAACATATTTTTATGTAACAAATTATTCTGCTTCAGTCTGTATTTGTTGGCGTTTGGCCTGTCAGAAACCACATTTTCACTGTATGCAGTGAAACGCTTTTTGCTCAATACACTGCACTTGACACCTTAGCAAAGCAGTCTAACTGCAACAGCCATAATATTTCATTTATGCAGCCACAGTAATTAAAATCATTTTCAGCTCCAAAAGTATTATCGTTGGTAGCCGACCGAACTTATTAAAAAAGATAATCGACTGTATCTGCTTTTATTTGGAGCTGGCGCTCCGTCATCATCAAGTGCATTAAGGACTCATGAAGGACTTACCAAGACAAAATGTCGAAGAAATCGGCGGTTTGGGAGCATTTTAAGATAAGTGATGATACAAAAAAAGTGCAGCGCCAGTTATGCAAGATGAAACTGGTGTACTATGATTTTTCAACGAACACAGCGACTCATTTGAGAAATTTAAGTTTTCTGAATTTGCGCCGCTTAGCTTAAGTAGTAAACGAGATTCTGTCATCTATAGCCCTTTTTCCATCAAAAAGATAATTCCCTTTAAAATGTTGCACATCAAAAAGTTAGTGCGACATTTGTGATGGAAAAAGAGTGATATCGCTCTAATGCCAATTTTGTCGCGCTAAGTTAATTCGCTCGGCAGAGGTGGTTTTGAGAAAGTTATATCGACATAAAAGTGATGGAAAAGGGTTGAAGCGATATAGAATGTCGCGCATGCGCATTGGTAACGAGAATTCGAATGTTCTTGTGCCGCCTCTGCGATCTTCTGTCTGCGCAGTTTGGTTCAGTTCACCTCAGAAATGATCCAATCGCCCAACTTCAGAAGAATGATGAAAAAAGACATCAACCGTTGTCTTTATTTTAGAAAAGCTTGCTAGATGTGACATGCAATCCTGTACAACGTTAAGTCCCAAACAATGTCTTGTGTTTCGTTTACCATTTTTTTTTCAGTCCTAGCCATCACTGAATAGCAGACAATAAGCCAGGGTGACAGTCGTAGGAAGCAAATGGGTTCAGTAAAGATAACATTACATCAGCTAAGCTTAGCATAATAAAGTAGTCATTCACATGAGAAGAGAGGTGAGCGGTAGCTAGCTGCAACTATTTGGTATTTGTGATAGTGATCATTTTGTGCCACTTCAGCAGTTATATATTTCCACTGGTAACTTTGCAAAATTAGATTCAAATCAGATTATTGGGCGATATGATTAGGTTTGCTTCGTTTGTGCTAGTTAAAATTAGCCTTGATGATTTAACCAGTGTCTGCATAACGTTAGCCTAGCATCCGGGCATCTGTCAGACTATGGACCGAGTGCGCTTTCTAAACATCTGCATATTCATGATCATACGCAAAACAGGCGAAGTAATTGGTAAATGGACTGCATTTATATAGCACTTTCTATTCACATGACATGACCCCAAAGCGCTTTACAACTATGCCTCACATTCACCCTGATGGCGGAGGCTGCCATGCAAGGCGCCAACCTGCACATCAGGAGCAGTGTGGGGTTCAGTGTCTTGCTCAAGGACACTTCGACACGTTCTCTGGAGGAGCCGGGAATCAAACCGGGAACCTTCTGATTCCTAGGCCGCGTGCTCTACCTCCTGAGCTATGCCACCCCACAAAGTATTGGTATTAACCTGTGGTTAGCTATGTGGAAGAAATGCAATCCATGTATGGTGTCAGGTCGCTATTTTTTCAGCATCTTTTTTTTTTCCTCCCTTTAGCTTGAAAATAGTCAGGGACATTTAGTGATACACATATCCTCAGTACTCACCTCAGTGGAAGTTTAGCATTCCATAAATGAGCCAATAACCCCATCTACAGCTCAAATTTTGTTTTACTGCATTTTCATGTGTAAGACCAGTCTATTATAAAACAGCGTTGCGTATCAATGATGCTGGCTTTAAAAAAGTTATGGCGTGTGACATGGATCTCATTGATAACGTCAGATGGAGTCGTGAAATCTTGTGTATAAATTAGGCTAACGCATAGGGTTACTAATTTGAAGTGGGCTATATTCTCGAGACGACCGCCTTGGCCAGTTGATCATAGCTGCCGAAGTTGTCATGTTAAGGTAGATCGATAATAGCCATTTAACATTCACTTATTATTCACGATATATCCATCGCAACGGCAGCCCATGAATTTTCTTGCCAAATAACTTGATGTTTGCTGCGCTGGAAAGATTAGCCTATTTTTTAATCTCAAAAGAGCCTCATAAAGGCGGCTACAAAAAAATTTTGGATATTTAACTTAGTTACTTTTATTCTATGTCTATGCTCTCTTCAATTATACTGTTGTTTTGTTCTCTGTAAAGCACATTGAAATGTCTTGATGTAAGAAATACAAATAAAACTGCCTTAACTTGCCTTTTATTCAACGGAGTTTTTTTTTTTATTTACATTTTCTACTCAGATAGACCTACGTATTTGCCACGAAGCCTTGTCATTTTAATGTAAGTAGTATTGACTGTTATTTTAGTCTTCTACTAGGCCTAGGCTTATCCCTTGATTGCAGGTTTACCGTTATTTAATTTATTATTACTTTTTTTGTCGACCGAGAGCCCCGGCAGAGCAACAAAAGATCCTGCGGCTGGCAAGCCCCAGGTTCCCGACCTCTGCGCTACACTAACCTTCTCAGAAGGTTCTAATTCGCTACATTGTTGATGGAAAATCATCTAGCGGGTCAGAAAAATGCACTTCAACTCGAGGCATTGTGACGTAATTTTAATTCCCTAGAATCGTTCTGTTTATGGAAAACTGTTTTAACGCTTCTTATGTTGCTAAAAAAAAATTCGACTTAAGAGTTAATTCGCTTGAAAATCTGATGGAAAAAGGGCTTATGAGGCTACTGGATAAATTGTTGGAAGTGGCTATTCGCCCTGCGGCGGTTCAGCGCTAAAGATCAAAGAGTGGGGCAGATTATAAAATGAAATCTCTTATTGGCCCGACTGCAGGGCAAATAGCAGAAGTGCTTCTCTTATCCGTCCCACCATGGTGTGAATAGCAGAACTGCTTCTCTTGTCGGCCCCGTTGCGGGGCAGATAGCCGACCTCTTTCCCCCAATTCGCCCCGCTGCGGGGCGAATAGCCACTTCCTAAATGGTTAATATCCAAAATAGCAAGCCGTGATGAATAAATAGACTAACTCCGCATAGGAGTAGCGAAATAAAGTTAGCAAGTAAAATATGTGAATCAATATTTTTTTAATGAAACATGGATGCATTGCTTGCAACAGACTGCACCTGCGACAACGAGCCAACGAACCCTGAAGCAGGTGATGAGAAAACCTCCTTTACTGGAGAAGAAGAGAAAGGAAATAACAGATGCGCTTGTGATTGCGATTGACATGCAGCCAGTGAATACTGTGCAGGGTGAAGGTTTTATACAACTTATGAACAAGTAAGAGCCAGAGTACAAAATTCCAAGTCGCAAAAAAACCAAACATTTAAGGGCTAATCAAGAATACACAGCAGCGAGAGAACTTCTGTGATATTATTAAAAACTCTGTTATAGGCTTTACAGACATTTGGACAACCCAACAAATCAAAGCTTATGACTGTACCAGCCCATCTGATTACAGAAGACTGAGAGCATAGTAATAATGTGCGTGAAACAGCTAAAATGACAATGTCACACCGCGGCAAAATTAGCACATTAACTAGGAGAGTTCGCTGATGCTTCCCAGATACCGGTGTCTTAAAAAGTCGCTGAAGTTCATGACAGCACAGCCAACATGATCCTCGGCATCTAAATTGGTTACACACGCATTAAAAAAAATATATATATATAAACGTAAATGAGTTATTTTGCTTGATTAGCTTGTTTGGAAAAAGTAGAGTTTTATTTCATAATTTTCTAGATGGGCCACAGTAGGCTTTGCGTTACGCACTCGTCCCTTTCATAACGAGTGCATGTTTGTCACGCATGTTCTGTGCCTCACTGTTTGAATTAAAAACACTTTAGAAATGTTCTGATGCATTTTATTTCTTAGTTACCATTTTGTCATAGTACAATTGCCTATAGCTAGGCCTCTGAGGAGAGCGCATTAATAAAGCGCATTTGTTGCATCTCGGGTCCGTATGTGTGTGTTGGAGGTGGGGGGAGGGGGTTATTCGATGCTTCATTCGAATCTCTGTCAAAAAAAATACAGCCCTAGTGTCAATTATCTTGTGCGTTTTGCGTCATACGATCGGCTCTTTTTAACGGCCTAAATGGAAATTCCGATGAATTCCAATAGTATGCAAACGGGTCGCCGATCGATTGGACCCCTAAAATAGAACTTTATGTTCACAACCATAAGCACTACGTTCGGAGAGCAGTCAACAAGGCCCATGATGAAAAATACACCATTCCCACAGTAAAACAGGGTGGGGGCGTGTGGGCTCTAAAAGCACAGGGAATCTCATGAAAATTGATGGCAAGATGAATCCAGCATGCTATCAGATAATACCGGCAGACAATTGGCATTCTTCAGCACAAAAGCTGCGCATGGAACGCACTTGAACTCTCCAGCATGACAATGATCCAAAGAACAAGGCCAAGTTGACCCTCCAGTGGTTACAGAAGAGAAAGGTGAAGGTTCTGGAATGACCATCAGTCTCCTGACCGCAATATCATCGAGTCGTTCTGTGGAGATCTCAAACATGCAGTTCCTGCAAGACGACCAGAAAATTTGCAGGAGCTGGAGGCAATTTGCCAAGATAAATGGGCAGCTATACCACCTGAGAGAATTAGGGACCTCAATGACAACAATCACAAAAGACTGCATGCTGTTTTAAATGCTAAGGGGAGGTAATACACAGCATTAAGAACTAAGGGTATGCACACTTTTGAGCAGGGTTCATTTCTTTTTTTTCCTTCCCCCTAATTGCCGCATTTTATTTAATGACTGTGCCATTCTACATGACCTACAGGTGCATATGAATCCAATAAGAAATATGTGTGTTGTTTTACCTGGCCATTCATATTTTTTTTTCCAAAAATGCAATCCATTTTACAAATTCAGCCAGAGCATGCAAACTTTTGAGCACAACTGTATCTCCATATGACGAAGTTTAGCATTGGTAAATTCAGGATCATAAAAGGTATCACTTCAGCTCTCTAGTATAGGGAATGTCGTTGTTGCTTTTGTACAGACATGTTTTTGTCAATTATAGGAACCAGTGCAACTTGCTCTTCAAAACATGTTGTTTCCTCTGTCCTATTCGTGTAGGGACATAATCGTCCTTGCCGAAAATGCTCACTGCAAACACAATTTTTTTTTTTTTTACCCTTGCCGCCTTGGTTTCAATGTTCTAACCTACGGCAAAAAGCCACAGTTTTCGGAGAGCATGGTTCTGGACAGGAAACCGGCGAAATACATAAGGCAAATCAGACCGGTTTTTGTTATTACAGCCAGGAAAATCACAAGTCCGCACCATTTTTATCTCCGCGCTTCCGAAAAAGCGAGATCTTGTAATACAGTTCGGCCTCTGTCCGTCCATCTGAAACAGTAACTCCTCCTAGGCAGTTATACCAATCAACCTGAAACTTTGCTGTGTGTAAGGTAGTGACCCAGAGGGGTGCACAACGTGTTTAGAATTTAAATTCATTTCTTCTTCTGGCCACCAGGGGCCTTTTTGCGAAAATTGAAAAATGGCCATAAGTTCCTTATGCATTCAGCTAGGACGCTCAAATTTTTATTAGAGATGCATGGGATGACCCTTCATCACATATCAGACGGGTTTTTGTTTTGATCTAATTTTGACCGTTTTCTAGGTCAAATGGTGTCAGGCGTGCCAATCGCTGTACCGTACGTCCTTTCATTTCAAAATGAAGAGTAATTTATGCCCTCAACAGACACTCAAAAAGTACTCTATCCAACTACCTAACTATATCACATTGCTATAACTCAGTATCAGTAGTTTGTTACTGCAAAAAGCAGATGATCATTTGTAGAGCAGAATGCCAGTTCAGTTAACCCCTTTGCGCAGAAGCCAAATTTGGCTATTTATGGGTTACCCAATTTAATGCTTTATAATTCAAGATTTTAGCTTCATAAAGAGGAAAAATGTGGCTCCACTCAGAAAAGACGCCTACAGCATTTAGAATTACATCGTATTTCAGTTTATTTTCATGATTTTGGTAGAGAAAATGGGCTGCAAACAAAAAATCTTCATGAGAATTCACCATTGAACTTGGAAAAAAATAATACTGAGAATTGAAAAACCGCTGGGGCATAAATCTATATATTTCTGGGATCATAAACTCCTTGACCACAAGTAGAATTCATCTTCAACATTACATTCTAGATTACCTACATGCTATTAGCCAAATTATACAGCTATCCCTCAGTCTGAGATCCCTCAATTGGTGCCCTGTCAAATCATAAAATAATCATGTATTTAACACAAATAAAGTTTTGAGGCATGAAATTTAATATGAACTAATGATTTTCTGGTTGAGTTTAGCATGAATTTACCAATATCAGTGGAGTTGAACATCAGTGGTCACCAGTAACCTCTCCAAACACAAAACATGCCTTTTCTCCATAATAAAGTTAAGAGTTTTGTCCATTTTTCTTCAAAGTCCCCCAAGCCAGCACACATACTCATTAAATAAACTGCTGATTAAATG